TTAAAATATATGAAACTTTATTTAGAAGCTTTACTGTCAGAGTGATTTTCATTCTTTAGCATCATTAAAAGTGTTAACGGTGGTAATGCAGGAATAGCTATTTCAAGATGGAACTTTTAATTTTTAGTAATTATCTTTTATATATCTGTGTCTATATCAGTATTAAATAGAAGCTGAAACTTGTACATTTTTATGCCTTATTCAAAACTGATTTATCACTCCTTTGTGCCATCATTGTGTCCTTTAAATGCTTCTGACATAGCACCAGTAACACTTTATTGCACTTACTTGTTTACATAGCTGTGGTTTTGCCCTAAAACCACAGACTAAACCATAGTCTAAAAACCCAGAGCTTATTTGCTTTATTTCCTGCAATATCTATAGCATAATGAGTGTTCAATTAAATATTCATTAACTAGGTGAATGAATACTTATGCATGTCTTTGTTTTTCAGATTTGGCATGTAGACTGCTGGGGCAATCAATGGATGAGAGTGGATTACCACAACTGACCAGTTATGATTGTGAAGTTAATGCTCCTATACAAGGCAGCAGAAACCTACTGCAGGGTGAAGAATTACTCAGAGCTTTGGATCAAGTTAACTGAGCTTTTTCATAATCTCATTCCTTTTTTTGGACACTGGTGGCTCATTACCTAAAGCAGTCTATTTATATTTTCTATATCTAGTTTTAGAAGCCTGGCTACAATACTGCACAAACTTGGTTAGTTCAATCTTGATCCCCTTTCTACTTCATTTACATTAATGCTCTTTTTTAGTACATTCTTTAATGCCAGATCACAGACAGCACGTTTTCACAGTTCCTTGGTATTTAAACCATTACATTGCAGTAGCGTCATTTTTAAAATGCACCTTTTTATTTATTTATTTTGGGCTAGGGAGTTTGTCCCTTATCGAATTATTTTTAATAAGATGCCAATATAATTTTTTTTAAGAAGGCAGTAACCTTTCATCATGATCAGTTTGAAAAATTTTTACTCAGTTTTTTCACATTTTACATAAACAATAATGATTTGCCAGCAGTACATGGTAGCCACAATTGCACAATATATTTTCTTAAAAAAATACCAGCAGTTACTCATGCAATATATTCTGCATTTATAAAACTAGTTTTTAAGAAGAAATTTTTTTTTGGCCTATGAAATTGTTAAACCTGGAACATGACTTTGTTAATCATATAATGATGATTCTTAAATGCTTGTATGGTTTATTATTTAAATGGGTAAAGCCATTTACATGATATAGAAAGATATGCATATATCTGGAAGGTATGTGACATTTATTTGGATAAAATTCTCAATTCAGAGAAATGATCGGATGTTTCTGTAGTCACTTTGCCAGCTCAAAAGAAAACAATATCCTATCTGTAGTTGTGGAAGTTTATGCTAATATTGTGTAATTGATATTAAACCTAAATGTTCTGCCCACCCTGTTGGTATAAAGATATTTTGAGCAGATTGTGAGCAAGAAAAAAAATCATGCTTTGTTAGCAAAATTGCCTAGTATGTTAATTTGCTCAAAATTTGATGTTTGGTTTTATGCACTTTGTCGCTATTAACATCCTTCTGTTTTCATATAGATTTCAATAATTGAGTAATTTTAGAAGCATTATTTTAGAAATATATAGTTGTCACAGTAAACATCTTGTTTTTCTATGTGCATTGTACAAATTTTTCATTCCTTTTGCTTTTTGTGGTTGGATCTAACACTAACTGTATTGTTTTGTTACATCAAATAAACATCTTCTGTGGACCAGGCCCCCTTTGATCAGCTTTTATGTTAAAATATTTGCTTCAGTGCCTCCAACTCATAAAATTGATTACCAACAATTTAATTATGAAAATTACATCAATAATTATTTCTACATTTATTTTGTCACTTTATACTGTGTCCTAAAGTCATGTTAAGTAAAATCAAATTACAATGTTCCACTGTAAAAAAATACGCTTTTAGAAAAGAAACTTGTCATTTATAAATTTATGAACCTATTAAAGTAAAGCCGATTTTAATGCTTTAATCCCAGGTGAATGGGATGAGTGAAGCAAATCCTGAACATTATAGTTACATAATGTTGTAAGGGCTAGAAGTGCCTCTAAAGATTTCCAATCTATTCCCATTTCATAGATGAAGAAATGTAGACCTCAAATGATAATCGACTTGTCCCAAGTCTTCAAGGTAATAAATGGTACACCAAAGATTTTTTTTTTTTTTTTGGTACACCAAAGATTTAAACTTAGGTCTTCTGACTCTGATATGAAACTAGAACAAACTTTGCATTTTTTGTTTTAATGATACTGTATATATTTTTAAAATAACTTTACTCATTTTTTCCTGTATTTTTTTTATGGAATAGCTATATTTCTTTTTTTTTTTTTAAATTTTTTATTGTTATGTTAATCACCATACATTACATCATTAGTTTTTGATGTAGTGTTCCATGATTCATTGTGCATAACACCCAGTGCTCCATGCAGAACGTGCCCTCTTTAATACCCATCACCAGGCTAACCCATCCTCCCACCCCCTCCCCTCTAGAACCCTTAGTTTGTTTTTCAGAGTCCATCGTCTCTCATGGTTCGACTCCCCCTCCATTGTCTCTCATGGTTCGTCTCCCCCTCTGATTTCCCCCCCTTCATTTCTCCCTTCCTACTATCTTCTTTTTTCTTAACATACATTGCATTATTTGTTTCAGAGGTACAGATCTGTGATTCAACAGTCTTGCACAATTCACAGCGCTTACCATAGCACATACTGTCCCCAATGTCTATCACCCAGCCACCCCATCCCTCCCCCCCCCCCCACTCCAGCAACCCTGAGTTTGTTTCCTGAGATTAAGAATTCCTCATATCAGTGAGGTTATATGATACATGTCTTTCTCTGATTGACTTATTTCACTATATTTCTTTTCTGATTATAAAAGTAATACATTCTCACTTTAAAAAATTTAGTACAAAAAGATGAAAAATCACTGTGAACCTCTGCACCCAGAAGTAACAGCAAATGATTTTTATGGACAAATTACAGAGGCAGTGCCAGAGCCTTAGGTCCTGTAACCTGATGTTATGAGAACAAAATATCCTGAACAAAATGAACTAAGCCCCAGATCTTAGGTGGCTGTTTTTCTCTCAGACTGAAAAAATGTTATTACAATTACATGAAAATTTGGGCACAAAAATTTATAATATGAAGACTTACTCCAAGATTTGGGGAGCACATGTATATTTCACTGTAAATACTACAATATGAAGTGCATCTGCATTTCATTACAGATAGTACAGAGATGGTATTTTAGAATAAAATAGTTGCTTCATATTTTCAGGTCAAAATACCAAAAATCCTGCTTATTTTGGTAGCAAATTAGCTCTAGTTAAAAACTAGAAGTGGATGTATAGTTTTCAAATATTAGTAAGTGGTCAGATTATATGTAATGACCGGGAGTCAGAAAATGACTTGTAAGAGCAATGATTTAGAAGAGAAAGTCACTTTAAAGGACAGTAGAACTGGAAGAAAATAAGTACCCACCTCTTGGTCATTCAGAAATTCCCCCCCACACACACACACCCCGGAGTGCTTGAAGCTGTTGCAAATAGCGGAACCAGCTCTTCCTTCCCAGCATTGTGCCCTCTCTTTGAGACTCATTTACTTCTTTATAATGCCTTTCTCTGAAGTATAATCCTACTCTAACAACTAGAATTCTGTAATAGCTTTTCTCTCCTTATGCATGCCTATCACTTCCCCACTTTTTTGGTGCCACTGTGAGTGAATGATCACAGTATTATTTTCACACCTGAAGAAAGTATGGCAAAGGAATTTAGTGTGTTTTGTTTTGTTCTAAGCCTTATCTTTAACTTTGGAACTAAAAAGAGTTCCACAGAGAGCTTACCACAGCTAAATACAATGGCTTTTAGATTAGGAGTTTAAAATGAATCTGACATCTATTAGGTATATGTTAGACTTTGTGCTAAGCATTTTGCATGTTATCTTACAATCTTCAAAAAACACCTATGAATTAATATTTTTATCTCATTTTATAGATGAGGAAACAGTCTTGGAGAGGTAGCTCAAGGTTCAAAGCATTTGAGCTGGCCATCAGTGACTCCATAGCCCATGGTGCTGAACACCGCAGGGTGCCAGCCAGTTCAGTAGAACATATCCTTTTCCCTGGTAACTGTTTAAATAGCAAACAAGAGAAAACAGTGGGGTGAAGGTAATGATACCAGAGCACATTGAGGGGATGTCCTAAGGGAGAAATGGCAAGACATAAATGGAAATGAGTAAAAATGGTGTTCTACAGTGCTACCGAATTTTGAGTTTGAACTAGAGATTCAGGTGTCTGGTGACGGAGACATTAACTCACAAGTGAAAGAGGTGATTTATGGAAAGCCCGCTAATGAACTATAAAAGGTTATACCAATGTATGATACGGTTCTCCCAGAGCTGTTTGACTTAATGGCATAACAGACATGTTTAAGTCTGTATAACTTTGCAACTATCACTCCAAATAGCTCTTTCCCCCTAAAACCTCTAAAATACAGAAAAGATGAGCTTAAAGTTACTGGCTTTGCATAAACTTAAACACTGAGATTCTAAAAGTTCCGATTTCTAATGTAGCAACATCAGAAACAAGTTGCAAAGAATATGGAATCTTTTTTCTAACAATAGGGTTTTGGTTAAATAAAACCTTTGCCAGCATGTTGCCAACTGTAACCAACAAAAGTGTAAAGAAAAAAATCTTTTACTCAGGTGTTTGGTTTTTTTTTTTTTAGGTCCGCCACTAACCACTCTACTCGTATTTCATCCCTTAAAATAGCGCTGAACCTGTTGTCCCAGATCGTTTTACAGATCGTTGTTCGATCTGTAGAATTTGATACTAATAGTCTCCTTGTACTATAAAAGCTATACCTTTTAAAACGCCTATAAAACGCCTTCTGGAGCTTTATTGTGGTCACACTTTTCAGAGGTTTGGACATAATTTTCTTACCTGTAGTGGACGGTTTTATCCAAGACGCTGCCCAGACACCCGATCTCCTTGTACTATTTAATTTCTTTTATTCCCTTGTCTCGGCTCCATGATCCGGGACGGAGAGAAAAGACAGGTGCCTGAGAGCAGCACTGATCAGACAGACCCCTCAGCGGGGAAATAACAAGGATGCGGAAGGGACCGGTCACCCCTTCCAAGCCTGGTGCCGCCGGTACTACATGATAAGGATGCGAAACACAAGCCGCTGGGAAAAACTTGCCCAAGCCCCGCCCGCCGCGCTGCAGGCCCCGCCCCGGTACGTGCTCGGGCGCAGCACCGCAGCCCCAGCCCCAGCCCCCGCCCCCGGCTCCGAGGCCGGATTCGGCCCGTGGGGCTGCTGCTCCCGGCGCCCGCCTACGTGTGAAAGCTCATGTGAGCGGCGCGGCCCCTGCTGCCTCTGCCCGGGCGGGCCGGGTGCGCTGGTGGTCAGCAGCGCCCTTTGTCTTCGCTGATTTGTCCAATTCTGATGTCTGGCCTTTGTCCCAACATCTCTTGGCATGAGATGGTTGGGAGATTCAGGGAATAGAGACCCGATGTGTTGCTGTGGAGCTGTCGGCGGAACTCCCAAATACTTTGGGGTGTGAAGCTGTGCTTTATGGAATAGAAAAGTATCTGAGGTGTCCTAACAGATTGGACCTTGTTTAACTATATAACAGGTTTTAAAAATTAGTCATCTACTAATCTGGTCAAAAACAGAGGACTCTTTTGGTTATTTAAATAAATTTCCCATGAGGCACTCAAAGATGTAGTTTATTTTAAATAAAGCACTTTGAGATATCCCTGATTAAGTAAATTGGAACTTTAGCTGCCCCAGGTGTTTTGTTTGGTTTTGCTTTTTGTTTGTCGTGTTTTTTGAATATTGTGTGCCAGCACCCTATTGAGGCCAGCTATTGAGAATCCTTTGGGAGAAGATAATCTTGTTGGACAGAAGGGAGGTGAGTTTATGGAATATGGAGAAGCCTGGGGCATTAAATTTAATCTCCTGTAATTAGTATGTTAAGATTGTGCAGTGTGTAGTAAAAGTACAAAGAAAGGTATTGTTTAAATTAATAACCTCATATGTGCATATCCACAGTTGTCAACATTTTACATTTTATTTTGAATTGCTTCCTTCAGGAAAATTCAATGTTCATGGTTTTTCAAACAGAATATCCAAGAAAGTAAGAGTCGCATTTTTAAAAAGTGATCGAGGTGTTTTAAATATGTTTACTAATAAAAACTGATCTGTAGCCTCAATCATCTTGTGTGTTTGTATTTATTGATTTAGAGGGGTGCCACTTAAAGAGAGTGCTACAACTCTTTTGGTCTTATGGATGCTTAATAATCATAAACTGGTGATTCTCCACAGAGCAGAGCAGAGCAGGCTGGGGGGTGGGGTGGGTGGCTGTAATGTTTATCACCAAGGGCAATGTATTTTAAAAAGTTGAGAAACATCATACATATATATATATAGCCTCACAAGCAGACTAGAACTCTGTTAAGTCAATGCTATCTTTTAGAGATCTTTGAAACATTAAAACATTAAGAAACACTATATAGAGATCCTTTCCAAATATTTCTGGATAATATTTGCTCTTTGAAACAGATTTTTTTTTTTTTAATGGTTCTACACATACCTGCTATGACAAACATAGGAGCTCTGAACAGCTGTGGGGTAAACCATCATAAACTGTTTCCTGGTTTCCCAGTCTGCTGGTAGAATATTGAAAGCAAAAACAAAAGCATAAACAGAAGTGAGGTATTAACACTACAAATTAGAGAGGAGCCAGCACAGCCTGGGTAGGTGCTATGCCTCCTCCCAGGCAAATTCAACTGCAAACATCTGCCACGCCTGTGAACTTCCATGTCACTACACCTTTAGCTTTCTTCTTCTTCTTTTTTTTTTTTTTTAGCTTCCTTGGTCATTTATGCATGTCTTATCTCCCCCAGTAAAGTTCTTAGCTCCTTCCAGCATGATTCCATACGATTCATCTTTGATTGCTCCTTAAAACCTTCCACTCTGCTTGCACAAGGACAATTCACACATGATTAAAGGTGGGAGAGGATCTCATGTGACAAGGGGAACAGAGAAGAATTATGATCAGAGAAAGAGAATGGGGAAAACAGGACTATCTTCCAGTCTTCCAGTGAAATCCATTCATTCAGTGAACAATTACTGAGGGTGGAGTGAGTCCAAGGTGTTTGCTATGTTCAGAATGTTTGTTTCCTCTCAACATTCATATGTTGAAACCTAACCTCCAAGATGATACTAGTAGGAAGTGGGGCCTTTGGGCAGTGATTAGGTCATGAGGGTGGAGCCTCATGAAAGGGATTCCTGCCCTTATAATAGAGACCTTTTTTATGAGCCTCCACCCTCATGACCTAATCACTGCCCAAAGGCCCCACTTCCTAAAACTATCATCTTGGAGTTTAGGTTTCAAGATATGAATGTTGATAGCCTCTCCTTGAGAGCTCCATTGCTTCCTTTGGCTGTGTGAGGATTCAATGAGAAGTCAGCCATCTGCAAGTGTAACAGGGTTCTCACCGGCCTCCAGAACTCCAGGAATCAGTGTTTGTTATTTATAAGCTCCCGAATTTATGGTATTTTTCTTAAAGCAGCTTGAACAGACTAGGACAATGTTATTCTAAGACCTGTGGATGATACAAATATTCCAGAATGTGGTGCCTACCATCAACAGCCCATTCTATGAGCTACTCACACATTCAACTGTTAATGGGCAAAACATGATTGAAAACTAAATAGAATGTTTATTGGCCATTTAAGATGTTCTGAGTCACCATTACCTTTTCTTTTAATGAATTGTTTCTAGCTTGATAATCTGTATCCAGACTACAGTGCTCCCCACAGGAACCTCAAATTTGGCTTCTGAAAAACTAACTGTGCTCCAAATGATTCAGCATATGTTCTCCAAATGCCTCCTCCTCCTACATTCCCTGCTCCGTGTCCCAAACCAATCCCTAGAGGTCACTTGTCACTTACGACCTTATCCACCACATCCAGTCTGACTCAGTTCTTCTTTTTCCTTAAATTTTCACTGTGGAAATTTTGAGTATGTAAAGAGAATAGTATAATGATGCCCAAGTCTCTGCTATTGGGTTCCCTAGGAAGTAGACTCCGAGATGGAGACTGCAGGTCATGTATTAGTGCTTTAAGGGACAACATGAGAAAGCAAAAAAGCGGAAGTGGGCAGAGGGAGAAACCAAGCTGAGATGCAGTCCCAACAAAGATTTTCAGCAGCCATATGTGGAGCTCTAGACCTGGAATAGTCCTTGAGAGTTGTCCCAAGTTACAGAGAGGGCTGGAGCCTTTACACCCCTACACTGATCAGTCATTGGATGGGGGAGTTATGCCTTTAAATGCATCTCCAGGAAAATGGCAGTATGAGGAGCTCCATGGACTTGTTCCCCAGTGAAACAACTACAACTGGCAAGAATTTTTAAAAAATACCATTTAAAGTTTCTTGAAATTGTCTGAAGAGGATACAGCAGATGAAGAAAATTTTATTTAAGAAAATATACTAAATCTTGGTAAGAACATCAAGAGTTATTGACACTTGAGCCATGACCTGCTGCCTCCCCCACTCTGCTCAGTATGACAAAAGCTCAACTCCAGGTGGGTGTGGCCAAGAAAGGGCTCCCTCTTCCCCTACATCCCAAAGGGCTATGGTATCTTTCTGGGAGGGCCAGGCAGCCAGCACTTCTCATCCTCTTTAACTTCATGTTGCAAAGGTAAGAGATTGGAGAGATCGGGAACTCCTTTCTTCCTTTCAGACACTATTCATAGGACAGGCTCTATCCCATGTGCAGCAGGCCAAGAGTGGTAGGACCCCAACTGCTTTCACCCCAGCTCACATTTGTAAGCTGGGAGTTCCATGCCAGCAGAGGCAGCCTGAGAAGAATTACTGCCCCCTCCTACAACCCTGCTCTCATTCTGAGAGAAGTGGGTCTCTATCCCCATCCCCAGCTCCATAGCAGTGGCTCAGAGATTTTGCCCAGGGGGAAAGAAAGTTCATTAGAACAGAAACTCAGAAGCTCTCCCCACAGGAATGGACTCTATTTGGAAGAGTGTGAGAAGAGGGGCGCCTGGGTGGCTCAGTTGGTTAAGCAACTGCCTTCGGCTCAGGTCATGATCCTGGAGTCCCGGGATCGAGTCCCGCATCGGG